TTTTGAGTGGATCTTTTACCTACTCGACTGGCAATTGGAGACTCTGTTGTGGTGTTTTGGGCAGCATCATTGGGTAACAATGATGTAGAACATGACTCAACTGGATGTCTATCCTCTTGGGAATCTTGACGATTGCGTCGTTGGTACAACGGTGGAATATGTCTCTTGAATGGTTGGAGTTGGTATAGTTCTTTCAGGAATAGGTATGGTCCTTTCAGGAACAGTGGGAGATACAGGTTCTGAGAAAGTAGGAACAGGGAGAATTTCTGTGATTTCAATGGGTTTCCCTAGGAAATTAGACTCAACAGAGGTGGAAGAGAAAAAAGGTGTTTCAAAAAAGGTAACATCGGAAGAGGTATAAAACCAGTGTGTTCTAGGACAGTAACACTTAAAGCCTTTTTGGAGGCGAGAATACCCAAGGAAAACACATTTTATTGCCTTGGCATCAAATTTATCACGCCCTGGAGAAGTATTATGAACAAAGCAAGTATACCCAAAGATTCGCAATGGAAGTTTATGGAGAGGTTCTTGTGGACGTAAGATATGAAGAGGAATTTTTCCTTGCAAAACAGAGGAAGGCATCCGATTTATGAGATAGCAAGAGTGAAGTATAGCATGCCCCCAAACATTCTTAGGTACCTTGTTATGAATAAGCAAAGTACGAGCTGTTTCAACAAGATGACGAATTTTTCGTTCAGCAACTCCATTCTGTTGAGGAGTTCTAGCACATACGATTCATGAAGTATTCCATTTGAGGAAAAGAAAGAAGTGAAAGGGTCAGAAAAATATTCTCTTGCATTATCACTGCGTAATATTTTGAGAGATGCCCCAAATTGATTCACAATTTCATTGTAGAATTTTTGAAACACATCAAATAATTCAAAACGGTTCTTCATTAGAAGAATTCAAGTGCATCAAGATAAATCATCAATGAAGACAACAAAATATGAGAAACCCAAAGTGGATGAAACTCGACATGGTTCCCAAACATCAGAGTGAACTAAAGAAAATTGGGTATTGGCCCTCTTATTCACTATACTAGGATATGAAGCTCTTCAGTGCTTCCCAAGTTGAGATGATTCACACTCTATGGTTTTTAAGTTCGACAATCCAGGAACCAGTTGTTTTAATTTATTGAGGTCAGGATGTCCTAAACGACAATGGTTAAGAAGGGGTGAAATAGAAGCCAAGCAAGCTGTTTTGGTATTGGCGGAACATGAAAGATGGTATAGACCTCGTGATTCATATCTTACACCAATTGTCCCTTTTGTTTGACGGTTTTGAATAACCACCGTATTAGAAGAAAAGGTGACAAGGCAATTAAGTGAGTGAGTAAGTTGATTAATTGAAATCAAATTGAAATGACAACCAGGAATGTAAAGGACATTAGATAAAGACAAAGAATGAACAGTGACTTTTCCAACTCCTATAGCTTTTCCTTTTGATCCATCACCAAATGTGACATCGGGAAGAGAGTTTGAGAACTCAATATTAGAGAAAAATGAGAGATTACCAGAAATGTGATCAGTGGCTCCAGAATCAAGAATCCAAGATGAATCAGATTTTAATGCAAGAGCAGTATGAGACAAGTTGGTCCTGGCAACTTTCAGCATGCGGTTTAAACTTTCATGTTTTGCCATAGCTTTCAGAAAGATATGAAAAAATCACCATATAATCGCAGACAAGGAATGAACTGATTTGGAAAATTTTGTCGGAAAAGGGATGATGAACGGTCACCACTATTGATCGGCTGTAGGTGTTCGAGAGAAATTTCAGGTCCCAAAAAAGAGGCTCTGATACCATGTTAAAAGATAGAAAGGGTTCTTGTATTCATCTAACTTCAAGTTGCAAGTCTATATATAGGTCTACACGAGTAAACAATAATAAATAAAGAAACTACTCATCTCCCCAAGGCTTTAATTACTAAGGCTAGTGAGCTGCCCAAGACTTCTAATATTCCAACAGCTTCAATAACACTTAAGTTGAATATTCACTTTTGCTACTAAAAATTGCTTCGATTAAACATATTTATACCTTTGCGTGCAGAATTTTGGCCTTAAAGTGTACATTTTTATGCCTTCAAGTGCATATTTTTGTGTCTTCAAGTACACAATTATGGGCAAATGTTTATTATATGTTTTGTCTTTTCAATAATTTATAACTAAATTTTTAATGAAATTTGTGATATTTACAAACAATTTGTATTGGCAAAATTGCTTCAATAACACTTAAGTTGAATAACTTCCTTTTTTGGTATCATAAATTGCTTCAATTGTACATTTTTGTGCCTTCAAGTACAGAATTTTGTGCACATTGTTCTACCTTCAAGTGCATGTTTTTGTGCTTTCAAGTGCGCAGTTTTATTTAATTCGAAGTGTAATTTTTTTTTTTTAAAAAAAGCATAGATTTGGATGTATTTTAATGGCTGAGATTTGTGCGCATTTTTCACCTGGAGAGTCCTTCGCACCTGATCCTAGACATATATATATATATATATATATATATATATATATATATATATATATATATATATATATATATATATATATTGACATTGCTTTCCGTGCGGTCAAGCACCATTAGATACGCATAAATGCACCAAAAAGTGGTCGAAAATGCATCATTGTGTGGTGCATTTTTTTTTTTTTTGGTGTGGGGTGCGTTTGTGTATATCATTCTAGTGCGTTTTCGAGCCCTGTGTGGTGCATTTATGCATACCTAATGGTGCAATCCGCACCGGTCGCTCGTGAAGCTCTGTCCTCATTTGAACCAATAATATATATATATATATATATATATATATATATATATATATATATATATATATATATATATATGCGAGTTCAGGTGCGGTAGTGTCTTACGGTGCGGCATCACCAATAGTTCAACAAATATACACCATAAACGTTTGGATAATACACCACAAAAAACAGAGACAAATTAGGTACGCATCACCAAACACACACCATTAGGTATGAGTAAAAACACCATACAGTGTTCGGAAATACACCATTGGGGGTGGTGAGTTATATGGTGTATTTTTTGGGTCGTGTATTTTTTGATGTTTTATTGCATTTCATTGTGATGTGTTTTCCTTACACTGTTGGTGCATATTTTTAACACTGTTGGTGTATTATGAAATTCTGCCGCACGGTAAGATCCCGCCGCATTTGAACCTTTTCATATATATATATATATATATATATATATGGCAAAGATTATATCTTTGCTTTGACTCATTTTGAATGCATCTTCTTAACTAATAAACCTCAGAGTAGAGTGATGATATTTGCTTAATTTCATAATTAGAACTTGCGTGTATTTCAGGTCATTGAAACCACAGAGAGCCACTGCGTGACTCTGACTGTAGAAGGGGTAAATTCAGAGTTCTGCCCTTCTGAGAAGAAAGATAAGATACATGAAGCAGTGCCCAAGGGGGATTGGAAGATAAAGTGGTTCTCAGAAGAAAGCCTGTTCAAATTTGTGGTATTGTTGAAGGCAATACATACTGAAGCCGGTTCAAGTCCTCTACTTGTATCTTACACTAAATGAATGACTTGCCCTTCTAGGTTTTAGCCGGCCAATCATTTCAAGTCTAGAGGAAAGAGAGGGCAAGGAATTCTTCCTCTATATATATATATATATATATATATATATATATATATATATATATATATATATATATATATATATATATATTCTTTCCATTCTTTGGGTTCTGGGTAATGTTCCTGGTACATTCTTAGATCCCCTCCCTGCAGCTGTCAATAGAGATGTCTTAGCTTGCATTCTTGTTTGTTCCTTAGTTGGTTGTGATTATTTTAGTGTACAAAGTGTATAATGATGATTGCTATTGCATCAACTTTAGTTTGGATAATATAGATTACTTGGCAACATCTAACATTTGGTTAGAAGAAAGGAATTAGGGGGGAAAGGGATTATAAGGTGAGAATAAAGTAAGAATTCAAATTATATTGTTGAGTAATGAGGAATATAATTATTGTGATTGAGAAGGAAAGAAGTTGTATAAAGATTAAAATGTCCTTGTTTAATAATAATAGGATAATAATAATGTTATTTCATTCATTTTTTCCTTTCCTACAACTATTTCTTCCTTCCAACCAAACGCCCTATGAATTGCAATTTGTTGAATAGTAGAAAGATTCATTGTGTTCAACTCAAAAGAACTTTACAAACATCTACTATTTAAATAGGAATATGCTATTAACCTAATGGCTCTATTTCTAAAAGCACCTAGGGTTTCAACACTCCTCAAGTTGGAGAGTATAAATCATATGCTCCAAGCTTGTTACAAATATACTCAACCCTAGGAGCTCTAAGAGGTTTTGTCACTAGGAGCTCTAAGGGTTTTGTCAAAATATCAGCCAATTGATCTGTAGAGTTGACGCGCGTTTTTTAATCAAAACGACGTCGTTTTGCATCGAATGCACCATGCGCAAGGTGCATTCGGTTGCACAACATAATTTGCAATCATCAATAGTTATGCTGTGCAACCGAATGCACCATGCGCATGGTGCATACGATGCAAAACGATGTCGTTTTGGCTAAAAATGCGCGTCCCACTTAAAAAAAAAAATTCAAATTCGATTCTCGGCAATAGCATTATTGTGAATATATAGTTATGAATTTATGGATATTTAGTTCATTCATTGTGGATATTTAGTTCATTCATTGTAGATATTTACTTCATTCATTCACTGTGGATAGACGAAGTTTGTTTTGATACACCCTGACACAATCTTCTCTCTAATGAAGATCATCAATAGTTATGCTGTGCAACCGAATGCACCATGCGCATGGTGCATACGATGCAAAACGATGTCGTTTTGGCTAAAAATGCGCGTCCCACTTAAAAAAAAAATTCAGATTCGATTCTCGGCAATAGCATTATTGTGAATATATAGTTATGAATTTATGGATATTTAGTTCATTCATTGTGGATATTTAGTTCATTCATTGTAGATATTTACTTCATTCATTCACTGTGGATAGACGAAGTTTGTTTTGATACACCCTGACACAATCTTCTCTCTAATGAAGTGACAATCAACCTCAATGTGTTTGGTTCTCTCATGATAAATTGGATTTGAGGCGATGTGTAGAGCTGCTTGGTTGTCACATATCCATGTCATTTGTGCAACCTTGCCACATTGCAACTCTTGTAGTAAGTGCTTCAGCCACATAAGCTCACACGTGGCAAGGGCCATGGCTCGGTATTCAGCTTCAGCACTGGACATGGCAACAACATCTTGCTTCTTACTTTTCCAAGATATGAGATTACCACCAATGAGTACACAATAACCCGAAGTAGAGCGCCGGTCAAACGGACAACTAACCCAATCTGCATAAGAATACCCAACAACCTAAGCATGTCTTCTATCTTCATATAGTAAACCTTGTCCTGGTGTTCTCTTGATATACCTTAGAACCCGAACAGCAGCATCCCAATGAGTTCTCAAGAAACTGACTCAACACACTAACTGCAAAAGAGATATCTGGTCGTGTGATTGTGATGTAATTCAATTTTCCAATTAATCTCCTATATCGTTCTCGGTTAAGTAATGGCTCTCCCTGTCCTGGTAAGAGTTTAACATTCAGATCCATTAGATTATCCACCGGTCTACAATCCAACATGCCAGTTTCTTCTAAAATATCCCATGCATACTTTCTTTGAGAAATGACAATACCACTACTAGACTGGGCCACTTCAATTCCATAAAAGTATTTCAGCTTACCCAAATCCTTAGTCTGAAATCAACTGAAGAGATACTCTTTCAACTGAGATATGCCCTCTTGATCACTCCCTGTAATAACAATGTCATCCACATATACTACAAGGTATATGCATTTCCCATTAGAATGACGATAAAAAACAGAATGATCAACTTCACTTCTAGTCATACCAAACTCACATACCACAGAGCTAAATCTTCCAAACCAAGCCTATGGAGATTGCTTCAAACCATATAAGGAACGACGAAGTTTACATACCAGACCAGGCTCCCCCTGAGCAACAAACCCAGGTGGTTGCTCCATATAAACCTCCACCTGAAGATCGCCATGTAGAAAAACATTCTTGATATCCAATTGGTGTAAATCCCAATGATTGATTGCTGCCAAAGATAAAAGTAATCGAACTGATGCAATTTTAGCTACAGGAGAAAAAGTATCAGTGTAATCCAGTCTAAAGATTTGAGTGTAGCCTTTTGCCATCAGTCGTGCCTTAAGGCGATCAATCTTGCCATCAGGGCCCACCTTCACAGTATAAATCCACCTACAACCAACAACAGTTTTACCAGGAGGGAGGGGGACCAACTCCCATGTGCTACTAGACTTCAGGGCCTCCATCTCTGTGAACATGGCTTGGCGCCAATTGGGACCCGAGAAGGCCTCACGAGTGGATTTAGGTATAGACATAGAAGAAATGTGAGAAAGGAAGGCAAACTAAGGAGAAGATACACGATGATAACTCAAAAAGGTATATATAGGATGAGGGTTACGTGTAGAACGTGTACCTTTCCGGATAGCAATGGGTGCCTCAGTGGGATCAGCGTCAGATTGCAATTGAAGTGGTGGAACCGCAGCCGGAGGAGGATCGGGTGGCATGGGTGAGTCAACAGGAGCCTCAACAGACACAGGGCATGGACGGCGTTGGTAGACTTGAAGGGGGCGGTCAGGAGCAGTAGGAGCAGTTTGAGGAATAAGATCTTGGGCAAGAGGAAGTGAACCAAGATAGGGAAGAGGGAGAACCTCTGAAATAGAGACTACGTTACCTGGTGTGGGTTGGAAAAAAGAAGTAGACTCAATAAAGGTGACATCAGCAGACACAAAACGACGATTAAGTTCTGGAGAATAACACCGATAACCCTTTTGGAGCCGGGAATAACCTAAGAAAACACACTTGACAGCTTCAGGGGCCAATTTCAAACGCCCAGGAGTCATGTCATGAACAAAACAAACACACCCAAAAACCCGAGGTGGAAGAGGGAAAAGATCAAGTGAAGGATACACAATGGAATATGGGTTTCATTGTTTAGGACTGAGGATGGCATGCGATTTATCAAGTAACACGCAGTAAGGATAGCATCAGCCCAAAAATGATGAGGAACATGAGAATGAACTAACATAGTGCGAGCAATTTCAACTAAATGTCGGTTCTTACGCTCAGCCACCCCATTCTGCTGAGGTGTGTAAACACACGACCGTTGGTGTAACATACCCCGAGAGGTCATATAGGATTGAAAGGGGTTAGAGAGATATTCTTTAGCATTGTCACTACGCAGAACACGAATGAGTTTACCAAATTGAGTTTGTATTTCAACACAAAAAATTTGAAAATCTGGAATAACTTAGAATGATCTTTCATAAGGAACAACCAAGTACACCTAGAATAATCATCCGTAAAAGTGACAAAGTAACGAAACCCCAAAGCAGAATTGACACGACATGGACCCCAAACATTAGTATGAACTAAATCAAAAAGCGACGCAGCCCGATTATTGACTCTCCGTGGAAAGGACTTACGTGATTGCTTTCCAAGGTGACACGACTCACAATATAATGACCCTATAGATAAACCTGGAACCATCCGTCGAAGTTTGGAGAGACTAGGGTGGCCCAAACGACTATGGAGAAGCAGGTGAGAATCTGTAGAAGCATAGGCAACAAGATCACCACCACGGAGGTAATAGAGGCCTTGTGACTCAGTCCCAGTGCCAATCACCTTCCCCGTACTACGGTCCTGCACAACAACCGAATCCGCACAAAAGGTTACAGAACAATTAAGGGTACGGGTGATTTTACTCACAGAGACAAGGTTGAAAGGACTATTAGGAACATATAAAACTGACTTTAAAGGGAAAGATGGCATAGGATGAGCCTGACCAACATCGGCAACTTGTGTTTGATTACCATTAGCTAAGGTAACCATGGGCAAAGCCTTAGACTTTGTGACATTAGTCATAAGGGATAGGTTACCAGGAATATGGTCTGAGGCACCTGTGTCTAGAATCCAAGTATTTGTGTTACTAGCTTGAGAAAGACATAACAGAGAAGAGGTACCAACGACGAGAGATGAAGCCATAATATTATTCAAAAGGAAAGGGAAAAACTGCCTCAAAGGATGGTTGACCAGCGAGTTGACCGACAGAGAGGAGGAAACGGAAAACACAGTCTGAAGCGTTTCCTCGAGACGAATCTAACGGTGACAACGACGTCGCAATCGAAGGTCGGAACAGGGAGATCTGGCCAGAAAACAGTGGCGGATCTCGGCGACGGCGGTGGCGCGTGGCGGCGCGTGCGACGGCAGACGGCGACCGGACTTTGGGCTCTGGCTCGCGACGAGGCTCCGTGAGGCCTGTGGTCTTGGTTTGGGAGAAGAACCACCAGGCAGATGTCAGAAAGCAAAAAACAGTCGCGGCTGAACTCTGGTGGCGGCGGCAGAAAAGAAACGGGGAAATATTATTTAGGGTTTAGGCTTTGATACCATGTTGAATAGTAGAAAGATTCATTGTGTTCAACTCAAAAGAACTGTACAAACATCTACTATTTAAATAGGAATATGCTATTAACCTAATGGGCCTATTTCTAAAAGCACCTAGGGTTTCAACACAATTCAACAAAATGTGGCAATTACAATTCTCTCCAACTAAATATTGTAATTGGGTGGCCAAAGAATTATGGTGGAATTGCAATGAAATTCATGTCTACCAAACATGCCATAAATGACTTTTCACTATTAGTTTGGTATACTACAACCTATTTGTATCATTGAGAATGTACACTATTTATTTGTAATTTTTTTCTCAACAAATTTTAATATTACTTCACCTGGATTTTTCAAAAAAAAAAAAAAAAAACCATGGTTAGATGTTCAAACAAGTCAGCCATATTTGGTAAATAGTGGATTTACCAAAAATTGAGTAGATTCACCATTTTTAGTATTTTTAAAAGAATTTTTGCTTTAATTTTTTATAATAATAATAATAATAATAATAATAATAATAATAATAATAATAATAATAATAATAATAATAATAATTATTATTATTATTATTATTATTATTATTATTATTATTATTATGAAATATATATATATATATATATATATATATATATATATATATATATATATATATATATATATATATATATATATATATATAAATTTTTTTCGAACCGAATCAAACTAGTTCAGTTCGATAATATACCGAACAACTGAATAGTAATGAATTCTTGTATACTGAACGGTACAGTAAAAAATTGAATTGAATCGAAGTACCAAACCAAAACAAGCCAATGGTATCATTTTTTTAATACCGAAATAAAAACTGAAAAAAAAAAACGAATCGAACCAAATCTCGAAACACCCACCACTACTGCTAATTGTTGATTGCCAAACAAGATGATTTAGATCACAAACATATAAACTTTTCTTAACGGTTGTGGAAAGTGTCAAATATACTTTTCAACTTTATCAAAATTTATAATCAAGTTACTAAATTTAAAAAAGTAAAATATAAACTTAAACTTATAAAAGAAGTACAGTTTAAGCCTAATTAAAATTTGTTTGTGTTTTATTTATGTAAGCTTTAAGGTTGATATAATATTCATGTTTATTTTTTTTTAATTAAATGGAGGGTTGATACACCCGAGTGCTAGCAGCTAGCTAGCTAGCACTCACACCCTTCTCTTGCATGGAGAACCTTCTCTAGTCTCTATCCTTAGCCCATGCTTAGGCCACCTTTGGCGAGGGGGAACAAATTTCGTGCCAAATTACTTCCTTAAGCAAGCAGATCTGCCACCCTATTTTGCTTACGAAGAATGTGCTTTAAATCAACCTTTCAACAATTTTTTCATAATTTGTCTACATGCAGTGATGGTATTACGCACAGGAGCCATAGGAGTAACAATGTTGTTAATCCATTCCACAACCTTTAGAGAATCACATTGAATCTCAAACCTTTGCAACCCATTTCCCCATGCACATTCAAGGCCTTTAATTTCTTAATAGCCTAACCTTCAATATCAACAATGTTCCTCACTTTCAGGATACCCTGAAAGCCTCCAAGCACATCCCCTCACTAGCTATCTCGCAGTACTCCGCCATAGCCTGCAGAGTTCTTGCTTTGATTGAAGCTGTCGTCCACATTTAGTGTAAACGACTCAACAGCTAGTCTCTCCCATCGAAGGGTCTTTATTATCCCGTGAGATTCATGTGCTTCTAGAACACTCTGATGGTTTTTTATGGATACCCCTCGGTAGGGTACCCAGTTAGGGAAGCACTTGGGCGGTCAAGGTTAGTAGGTTAGTTACTTGAAGAATATATAGGCTCCAGCAGCCTTGCTACGATCCGCTTTTGTGGTATGCTAGCAAGTCCGGTGGAGCAACCAATGCAGGCAGTCAGGGGTCCCGACCGGGTGCCGCGCTCAGAGGCGGTGGATGAAGACTGAAGATTTGACGGAGATTCTTTCCAATTGTGGGGCGGGATTTTCTTTTTCGCATATTAGGAAGTTGATTTAGAAGTTTGGAAGCTTTCCTAAAGTTCAAATTTGTTAATTTCTTCTTCATTTCCTTTTTCAACACCTATACATCTTGTATAAATACCCCCTTGGGGTCACATTGTAAAGGGTTCTAGATTCAATACAAGTGTAACTACTTCGTCAATTTTCTTTCTCAACTTTACTTAATATTTTTATGGTAGTGTTGGCCTGCTGCTCGGCTACCCCGATAGTCGTAAAACCAATATTGGCGTTATCCATGGGGATTGATACAAAAAGTCCCGTGTCTAAACTTTGCTAATGGCACGCATTCAACACAACAGACGTTCTGGTAACGCTGGCACTGCCACCAACATCGTCAATACTGGTACCCGGCCGCCAACCGTGCTTCTGTTGATGATT